ATAATGGGGGTAGGTGTACAGATACAATAAGATTGGCACAGGATTGAGCAGGGTTTAGGTCTGTTGGACACAGGTTTGCTATGAGTCACAGGTGACTTGATGGCACTAAAGAACAACAACAACTATGTGTGTGTGTGTGTGTGTGTGTGTGTGTGTGTGTGTGTCATTTACTTGTAAATATGCATTTTATAAACATAGGAGATTTCCCATCCTTTTCATGCAGAGCTGCTGGTGTATTCAACTCATATATGCCTTTGGAATTTCAGCGCAGTTTTTTTACCACTAAGCCAAAGAGAGCTTTCTCTCTTTCTCTGTGTGTGTGTGCATGTGTGTGTGTGTACATATATACAAACACAAACAATCATATACAGTCAATCAGATGGATTTACATGGTAACTACCACAACGAGCCGAAGCACAAGTATGTCATAGATTACAACAAGAACAAAATCTGTTGTTCAGAGAGTTGCTATGAGTCTGAATTGACTAGATGGCATCTAAGAACAACAAAATATACAATGACAGCCACTGTTCTGTGTCTTAGACTTAGGACATGGACACACAAAAACGGAAGCAAAATAAAGTAAAAGAGAGAAAAGGGAGCCATAAATGGACAAAAGTTTTAATTTGTCAACAGCTTCTTTCTCAGATCCATGATCAACATCCTTGGTACAAGGAGTCAGGAGATCAGATGTATTGCATTGAGAAAACCTGTAAACAGTGTCCTCTTCAAATTACTGAGGAGCAATGATGCAAGTTTAAAGACTAAAGTGTGCCTGATTCAGGCCATGGTCTTTTCAATCACTTACTATACATCTGAGAACTGGACAATGAATGAGGATGATAGAGCAAGAATCAATGCTTTTGAGCTGTGTGTTGGAAAAGAGTACTGAATATCCCATAGCTGTGAAAAGAATACACATATATGTCTTGGAGAAGGTGCAGCCAGACAGAGTACTGCTTGGAACCAAAGATTTATCACACAGACTTTGAGCATGTTGCTTGGAAGTGATAATTCTTGGAAAGGAACATAATGCTTGGAAAGTTGGATGGTTGGCAAAAGAGAAGAAGCCCCTTAATGAGATCATTTGACACAATGACTGCAGCAGTGGGCTCAAGTATGTCCAAAATGATGAGGACAGTGTGGGTTAGGACAGGATTCAGATCCATTGTTCACAGGGTTGCTATGAATTGTACTCAACTTTATGCCTAAGAAAGCCCAAAAGCGTCTAATTAAGGATTATAGAAAATTCTAGAAATAGACAGGAGTGATGGCTGCATAATATTATGAATGTAATTAATGACATTGAATTATACACCTAGCAATGTTGAGATGAATAATATTTGGTTATGTTTAAAATCTAATAGATTGCTTAGTTATTTTAAGAGAGAAACCCAAGCTAAAGCGTACTGTTTGGGCAGTTGTGATCTGAGCTCTTCTTAGGTAATGGCAGAGATGGGCACTGGAGGCCCGTGTTGGCCTGGCCTCTTGCTTTGCTGGCACTCCTCTCTGGCTGTCTGTTGGCCAAGCTGACAGTGCAAGTGAGGGGATTATCCAGGTTAACTACATGCCCTGTGCTTTTGTTTCTTTGTTTTTGTTTTCTTTGGGGACAGAACTCTGAAAGTTGACTGGGGCCCCAGAGAGTCATAGGAGTAGGGGGAGAAAGCAAAAAGCAAAGTAGGAGGGGAGAGAAATGTGCAGTGATAAGGATTTTTCTGTGGTAAGAGCCATGACAGAATATAAGAGTTTAATTCCACAGAGGCTGTTGGCAATGTGGGTCAAGAAAGAATGCACAGTGATGCCAGGTTAATACCTCCTCAGACATGTCACTGAACTACATCAAGAACTTCTATGAAGGATGTGTAAGTACACAGATTAAAAAAAATAATAAATTCTATTAGTCCTGTCTCTGTACTCTAGCATGACTTGTATGAACAATGTAAATATTACCTGTGGACTTAAAAATACTCAGAATTTAAAGCTATAAATAAAAGAATTCCATAGTTTCAGGTAGTGCTGATTTAAAGTGGTGTGGTCTCTCAGTTCTATGGATAAAACATAGAAAATAAACTTTTACAGGGGGAAGAGTAGATTAATCTTTGGATTGTACAATTTGAAGAGTGGGGTATGAGGGAGATGAAAAGAATTTGTTCATATTTGTATTAGAATTTTGTAAATAAACTAGTGGGAGGAAAAAGAAAATAAACTATAATTACAATATTAAAAAACAGCAAGGAATATTTTAAGATAATGTATTTATTAAATATTTAACTTTGGGTTTGCTGCCAAATCTTCCTATTGGATATCCCTAAATTTTGAGGACTGTTTTGGTGAAAGGATTAAAGTTACAGGGATATTAATGGGCTAAAAGATCTTCATATTTTTCCAAAATGATATCTTTTATTAGAAACATATCTCCATGTAACTGTTAGATTTCTTATTTCAAGAGTAAAAAGAAGGATGAGAAATTTCTTACAGACTGTATTTGAGGTTTTTATGGATTTTTCTTTTATTTCTTGAGACCACATACACATATATGGTTTTAAATGTCCTTCTGTAACACTCTTTTTTAATTTCTTTTTCTTCCTAAATGCTTAACAGGTAAAACCTCCAACAGTGATCGGCCAATTCCACATCCTTTTCTTTGGATCGGTCCGAATGTTTTTCCTTGGGGTGCTGGGCTTTGCAGTCTATGGGAATGAGGCTCTGCATTTCAGCTGTGATCCAGACAAGAGGGAGATAAATCTCTTCTGCTACAATCAGTTCAGGCCAATCACTCCACAAGTAAGGTTTCCTGTGTACACTTAAAACTTTACTGTGTAGAGATATAGGAAAAAATAGATATTCTTTATAATAGTTGAATAATATTATAATAGGATGAAGAACAGCCAAATAGATGTCATTTTAAAAGCTATTTTCATTTTCATCCAAATAGCTGGATAACCCAGGTAAAATTAACCTGAATTTGTCAGGAGTTTCTCGCAATGTCAGCATCCTATGATTAATTCATTGTTTAAATTACACTCTTATTTTAGGAAATGAAAATCAAACAGCTACTAAAGTAATTCATCATTTTTAATAATTAGCACATGACAGTAAGAAGTGCTATTTTCGCAAATACTGTCTGTTTAAAGTTTTTTAATCCTTAACAATCCAACCAAATAAATAAATCAGGATTAACTTTATTACATTTATTTTATTAATTTTGTGCTCATAAACATTTTAGCAAACTTAAGCATTTCAGGTTAACACTTTGGGAATGAATGAAGTCTTTTACTTTTTAAAATTATATTTTTTTTATTTTACTTTTTGATGACCTGTTTATTAATTGATTCAATCACATGTTTCTGACATGCTTTAGGTGTTCTGGGCTTTACAACTTGTCATCGTCCTGGTTCCAGGAGCCATTTTCCATCTCTATGCTGCATGTAAAAACATCAATCAAGAATGCATTCTTCAGAAGCCCATTTACACTGTCATTTATATCCTTTCTGTTTTATTAAGAATTAGTCTAGAAGTGATAGCATTTTGGCTTCAGATTCACCTATTTGGTTTCCAAGTAAAACCTCTTTATTTGTGTGATGCCAGATCTCTTAAGGGGAAAAATGATATCATAAAATGCCTGGTGCCAGAACACTTCGAAAAGACCATTTTTCTCATTGCTATGTATACATTTACTGTCATTACAATAATACTATGTGTTGCTGAAATTTTTGAGATCATTTTTAGGAGATTATGCTTTCTAATTTGGCAATGACCAGAGAGCTGATTACCCACTGTCATGCCAGTTATTTATTTCTATTTTTCACGTAGTGGTGGTCCCCTCTCCCCACATAGTTTTATCTTAATCAATGAGAACATCCGCTGGGAAAATAAACATGTAATGTTTTTAACCTTATCTCAGTGTGTTTAAAATTCTTATCTAATACTAGGTTATATGTAAAATATGAAATGGACATTTCATTCTATTTTGAATTTGTTCTTCATTTAATTAGAAAATATACATGGAACTAATGTTTGACTCACGTTTGAAAAGTACTTTCACAGAGTTTCCACTCTTACAAAATCTTACTCCATCAAAATATTTTGTGGCTAGAGGTTATTGTTTCTTTTTCCTTTTTATTTTTTTTACAGAGTCGAAAATTGAAGTTCAGGCAAGGTAATTTTTGGGACTAAAGTCTTACAACAGATTCAAACTCAAATCTCCTGCCTTTAAAATGATTTCTCTTTCAACTGCACCTTATAGTTTTAACTTTATGGATGCAATTATATTTTAACAAAAACTATAATTTAATCAGAACGATTGTGAATTAATTATTAAAAGAGTCATTCTACAGTTGGATCACTCATTTGAAGAAATGGAGCAATTATATTATTAATATTTTACCTAAATGTTTCCTCGGAAATTTTTATCAATAAATTATATGGAACTCTAGTTACCAGATAAATAAATAATATTATGGAAGATATCATGCATTGTTTTCTCATTTCCTCATTAAAATAAAGACTAGCCTGTGTACATTGGTATTTTATGATTATAGCTTCTGTGTTCAAGATTAGGGAGCATTGGTTGAAGGAGATAGATACACTGTCCACCAAAAGGCAGATGGTTCAATTCACCAGCTGCTCCATGGGAGAGAGATGGACAGTCTCTTCCTGTGAAATTGAGAGGCTCTGAAAATCTGCATAAGGGTCATCTATGAGTTAGTTTCTACTTGATGGCAAATAACAACACCACACTCCGGATTACTAAAAGGATTATCATCATATCAAATTAGGTTATTGCTATTGTGTGCTGTGGAAGCTGGAGTTGACTCCTCGCTGACCCTCCAGCAGGTTTTCAGAGGATCTAAATCACAAAGAGATTGCTTATCTATCTCCCAAAAGCAGCTGGTGGATTTGAATTCTTTATCTTTGGATTGGCAGATTTACTCTCTAGGTCTAGGTCACCAGAGTTCCCTCACATTTAAATTATTGTTGCTGCTGTGTGCCATTGGGTCCACTGTGACTCACAGCAACTCTATGAACAATATATATGAACTTTGCCTTATCTGGTGCCATCCTCACCATATCTGACACATTTGAGCCCACTGTTACAGTCACCAAGTCAATCTATTTTATGGGTCTTCTGTTACGTTGACCCTCCACCTTTCCAACCATGATGCCCTTCTCCAAACACTGGCCTCTTCAAACATGTCCACACTATGTAAAATATTTTCACTGTCTTTGTCTCCAAGTAAATCACTGGTTTAACTTTCTTCAGGATGGATTTGTTTGTTCTCTTGGCAGTCCATGGGACTCTTCTCCAACACTGCAACTCAAAGGCATAGATTCCTCTGTCATCTTTCAACACTATTCAACTTTCAGATGCATCTATATTGAATTAAGTATCTTCAATAGTACAAAAAAAATTTCAAAGATATTTTCTATAGATCTAATCCGTTAATTTTTACAAGGCTTCTAAACCAACATTCTTAATCTGACATCATTTTTATTCTTGATGTTTTAACTGAGTTATATTGCCTTATTAGCAAAGTAAGTATCTTGTTGTTGTTATGTGCTGTCTAGTCACCTGTGACTCATAGTGACCCTATGTATCTCTGAAGCCTGCCCTGTCCTGAGCCAGTCTCTTTGCCTCTGATACACCTACCTCCTTTACCCCAGTTACTGTATCAACACATCTCATCCAAGGTCTTTCTCTCCTGTGTTGTCCCTCCACCCTTTTGAGCATGATATCATTCTCCAAGAATTTGTCCCTCCTGGCCACATACCCAAAGTATATGAGACGGAGCTTCAAAATCCTAGCCTCCAGGGAAAAACTTGATTATACACCCTCTCCAAAACAGACCTATTTGTTGTCTTGGTGGTCCATGGTATGTTCAAGACTCTTCTCAAGCATGACAACTCAAAGGCATAAATTATTCTTCTATCCTCCTTAGTAATTATTCAGCTGTCTGATGCATAGTAAGTAATTGTGAAGACCATGGACTGGATCAGGCACATCTTAGTCTCTTGACTGACATTGTTGCTTCTCAGTACTCTGGAGAAGTCCTTGACAGCAAATTTACCTAATGCAATTTGCCTTTTGATTTCCTGACTGCTGGTGCCAAAAGTGTTGATTGAGGAGCCGAGCAAGTTGTAACTGTTAACAACCTCAATCTCTTCTCCATCCATGATAGTACTGCCAATTGTCTCAGTGGTGAGAATCTTTGTCTTCTTGATGTTAAGTAACAAACCATATTGAAGACTACAGTCCTTGACCTTCTGCAGAAAACATTTCAGGTCCTCCTCAGTTTCATCAAGCAGGGTTGCGTCATCCGCATAATGAAGATTATTAATGAGTTTTCCTGCAGTATACAGTCATGTAAGTATTAAAGTTTTCAATTGTTTTAAGCATTTTTCAACTTTTTTTATATGACTTTTAGGGTTTATTATTTTAAAAACCATTGATCATTCCTCTACCTCAAAGTGCAGGAAACAATCCAACTTGTAAATTGTTGATCACTTAATAGATAAAGAGATCAATAGATATTCATACACTAAAAAAACAAACAAACAAACAAAAAAAAAAAACAAAACACCACAAACCCAAACCACTAGTCTCCACTAGGGGATGTTGATGGATTAGTTAGTGGAAAGGAGTTATGATGTCAACCCAAAGGCAAGAAGTTCAAATCCACTAGCTGCTCCCTGAGGGGAAAAATGGGCAATCTCTTCTCTTGAGACTTACTGCCTCTGAACTCTTTGGTGGCTCAAGTGAGTCGGTTCCAACTGGGCAATAAGTAACAATAAACACAAAAACTAGTCAGTATAGAAGATCAATTCTCTTAAAAAAATGTTGTTAGAATTTAAGCTTAAGAAATCTCCTAACAACTATGAGATATCGTCTCACCCCAGTAAGAATAGCAAAACTTAACAGAACAGCAAACAACAAATGCTAGTGAGGTTGTGGAGAAACTGGATGGTGTAGCCACTATGGAAGGCATAAGTATGGTACTTTCTCAAAAAGTTGGAAATAGAAATACCGTTTGTTCCAGCACTTCCACTACTGGGAATTTACCCCAAAGAAACCATAAACTCCACTCAAGCAGATATATGCACATCCATGTTTATTGCAGCTTTGTTCACAATAGCAGAGTTGAAAACAACCTAAGTGCCCATCAACAAATGAATGGATAGAGAAGCTGTGGTATACTCACACAATGGAATACTACACTGCATTGAAAAACAAGGAACTCATGAAATATTATACAAAATGAATGAGCCTGGAGGACATTACACTGAGTGAAATATCTCAGTCATGAAAGGACAAGTACTGCATAGTGCCACTGTTGTAAGTAGGACACAGGAGTTGGGGGGGGACTGAGAAAGCTGGGATAAATTATGCATACTACATTGAAACAGATGAGAGAGAGAATTGTTTAAAAGGTATATATGATTAGGTATAATTGTCATGACATGAGTCCAGAACAAAGGCTGCTTAGTGGAGTCGACTTGGGGGTAGGGATTGTATAACAATGAAATTGTTTTTTATTTTATTTTCAAAGAGAAGAACAAACTGGATGGGAGGGGTGGGCAGGGAGAAATGTGGAACAATGAATGAATGGAAATTAAAAAGAATAATAAAACTCCTGACCAATTTCTTAATTGTTAATAGATAAATATTGCAGTTGTTATTATGTGCCTGTCAAATCTTCTGCAACTCATATCAGCTCTATCTATATACAATAACTCTGAACCTTGCCCCCTCCCAAGTCCCACTGTCTTTGACACATTTATCCCCATTGTTCCAGTTACTGTATCAATTCATGTCATCTGGTCTTTCTCGTGCTGTCCTTCTCCAGATACTGGTCTCTCTTCTGGCCACATGCCCAGAGTATGTGAGACGGAGCTTCAAAATACTTGCCTCCAAGGAACAACCTGGTTTCAATCTCTCCAAGATAACGTGTTTGTTCTCTTGGCGTTCCGTGGTACATTCAATACTCTTCTCCAGCACCACAACTCAAAGGCATCAATTCTTCTGTCATTTGTGGTGACTGTCCAGCTCTCAGATGAATAGCAAGTAGTTATGATAACAATGGCCCAAATCAGGTACACCTCAATCTCCAAACTGACATCGTTGCTCTTCAGCACTTTGGAGAAGTCCCTGACAGATATTTAATTGCTAAATATCTATTAACATTAGACATGTCTTCCTCGTTGCATTCAATTTTAAACAAAAGATCCAAAAAGTATATGTGGACACTATAATTATCATCTGGGAACTGAAACAGATAATCAATCCTTCAATGATGTCAAAAGTAAGTAGCACATTCACCAGTTACCCTGTTATCAGATATCACTTCTTTCTTGCCTTTCAATTTTATCCTCCTTTTTGCCACAAAGCTCCTGAGTTGGTATGAAGGAACATAAATAAAATACACTCTTCTTTCTCTTACCAGCAGAGAGCGCCAGTGCCACAGGCACCACGACTGCCAAAATTCACCGCTTGCTTTGGGCTCCCGCAGCCACGAGCGCAGTAAGTAAGAATGTCCCTAACGACAACCCGTAGTTGATTTTCCATAGTAGCCCAGCAGGGTGGGCGGGGCCTGGTGCGCTGCGCCACCGCGCAGACGGAAGCGGAAGTGCCGGTGGGGCGAGAATAGGAAGTGGTGGTTTCTGGAGTAGAAATGGCCGCGCTTGCTCCGCTGCCCCCGCTGCCCCCCCAATTTAAGAGCATACAGCATCATCTGAGGACAGCGCAGGAGCATGACAAGAGGGACCCTGTGGTGGCCTATTACTGTGAGTCCTTCCGAGCTGTCGCGCCCCTCCTTAGCCAGTTAGACTCTAGGCCCTTATGCCTTCCTGGGTTCCGGGGGGTGGGGCAAGCCCCGCCCCCCGAGTTACCACTGATCTTTGACCTTTGCCCCGCCCTGGAAACCCTCTCGGACCCCACCCTCCTCTGGACACCACGCCCTCTCGGTGCCCCCTTCCATGTATCCTGAAGCCAAAACTCTAAAACACTGTTGGCCACAGCATCTTTTGTTAATTTGTCCCGAGGTGGACCCAAGAATTCCAGAAGAAGCTGCTCAGAGTTTACTTTCTGCGAATATAAAATGAAAGCCTCCCTTTTCCTCAGAGAAATCCTGAGAATAAGAGTAACTGCTGTGGCTGGAGGGAAGGAGAATGTGTCAGAGATGTTAACAGATGAACAGAAGGGCAGAAACGTCCAAAGTGCATTTATGGCATTTTCAGATGGCAATAATCTATTACATTCTTACTGCCGTTGAAAGAAAACCTATATTTCTCAGGCTGAAATCACATGGGATCTTTTGCCAGTGTTTTACCGCCACGTAGAAGAGCTGATTGATGGTGGATTCGAACCACCAGAGAGGTGTAGCTTTGGAATTAGCAAGCACTCCATTTTCCTACTGCTATGCTGCCAAGGTCTCTGCTATAGTGGAATTTGACTATTCTTTGCCAATTCTGTAACTACGCTCATTTGTCATTAAAAATTTTAGCCGTGACTTCATTGAGTGATACGATACGTGATGTTGAAACGTTTGATAGCAATAATCCCATTTTGGTGGCTTGAGATGTATAGAATGTACTGTACGGTTGATGGAAAACAGCTCCTAAATTTGTTTAGACGTTTTGCTTTTATGATGAAAGAAGTAGTCCCAGTAGTTTTATGTAAACTTTGATTTGTGCTTCCAACCCAAAGGCAGGCAGTTGAAATCAGCTGGCTGTTCAGTGGGAGAAAGATGGGCTTTCTTCTCCTGTGCGATTTGCAGCCTATGAAATCCCAGTGGAGGATTAGCTGCAGGGCTGTTCAACTGCATAGCAGTGAGTTTGAGAGTTAGCTTTTTTTCTCTAATTTTACTGCAAGTAAAACAAGAGAAACCATAAATAGTTCAGTAGAATATGCCCTTTGACATGGTCACCAAAAGGTCAAAGGAGACCTCTTTTCAGTGAAGATGTGAAAGATAGGAAAGGCAGGACTTGCTGTTCGCCATAGAAGGAATGGCAAGTGCAAAGTTCTGAGCGATGCACTTTTCTGGGCTTACTCAAAGACAAGGAGGCTGTTAGGGCTAAATGACATATGGCTAGAAAGAACAAGAAAGCACCGTAATTAGGAAACACAATACAGGAGGACCCCTTGTTCGATTCCTATTTTCTGACTAATTCCTCTTCATGGACATTATTTCTGTAGATTTCTCTGGCTGTTCCAGGACCTAGCTATATCATATAAAGAGAGTGTACACACAAGGAGGCGACCATATCTGCCCTCCACAAACTCCCCAAGGGTTTTTTTTTCCTGCCAAACACTCTTCTAGGTGGTCTAGCACTGGTCCGTGCATTGTTGTGCAAAGGTAACTCGTGGTTGCTGTGATGCTGAACACTGTGACACTGATGTGCCAAATGTGGTAATGGTTACCCATGGTGGACAGTGTTTGCTGGAGCTTCCCGACTAACACAAGCCTGGAAGCAGGAGTGGCTTCCACTTCCGAAATGGCTTGCCTCCGGAAACTATGTGTGAACAGTGCGCAGGCCTTTCATTCATGCCTTTCGTTCATAGGGTCTCTATGAGTCATCTACGACTTGACGGCACCTAACAACAATAACAACAACGGTTAAAAACCAATATTTAAGAGATCAGAAATTCCCCTGCTCCCTGCACCTATATCTACCAGTTCTGACAGCTCTCCTTCTCAAGGCTCTCTGCTCTGCTGTTGGATCCACTAATCTGTTGCAGTGATCACACAGAACTCTGGTCATACTCAACAATAGAAATTCTCTGAATGTTCATTAAAACTAATAAAATTTAATAATAATTAAAAAAAATTCTCAAGTCTTATTTCTAGACATCCATTGTAATGACTAGTTAGTAGTGCTGTTCGTAAAAGCTATCACATCTTACATCTATTTGACCATAGGAGAAAGACCATTTAGGAATAGATTGTAACATACTGTTCCTGGCAGAATTTGGAGAAAAGAAATGTCATCTCTAGGACCTGTGGCCAGGTCAGTTAGCATCAAGGTTTGAGGAAAAGGCAGCTCTTAAAAAATCCAACTTGGACTCCAAATTCATGTTATGACCTTGAAGTGGAGTTATGGCTCAGCTTTCTGACTTCTCTGTTTGCATACTCCAAGTGCCTCTCATTTCAGGGTCTCATACAGCCAACACCATAGTTCAGTGAGATATGAACACATAAAAACAAATAATGTGTGCATAGAGTTTACAGAAAACTACCACATCTAATACTATTACATTTAATTTTTTACTAATTTAATGAATGAAATGGTCTTTTTTTGGAGTGAAATTTTCCTCTGAATCTTAATGAAGTTGAGCATCTTTTCATATGTTAATTAGCTTTGTGATTCCCTTTTGAAATGCATATTTATTTCCTTTGTTTAGTTTAATTTTGCACTATTTGTCTTTTTTCAGTCTAGTTACTAATCCTTTGATAGAGTACTTTGAATGCCTTCTGTAATTTCATTGACTTTGGATTCTGAGTCTTTTGATGTCAAATTGTCTAAGTTTTAAAATATAGTACTTTATCATTTGCATCTTTTGTGATTTACATTTGTAATTTTCCAGGCTTTGGTTTCTTTTTGTGAATCTTAATTAATCTGTAGATAAGTGTCTTTCATTAATTTTTAAAAATTGTCTATTACATCTTTTCAGTTATTCTGTTTTATTTGTATTTTTTCCTAAAATTTTGTTTATACTCACATTGCACTTTTCCTCTGTGATGCCATGACGTCTCTTTGTTTCTGTGTGCTACAGTTGGTGTAATGTTTTTTAGGAGTCTCTCCAGTGTTCGTATCTGTTGTTCATAGGATTGCTCTGAGTATAGTCAGCTAGATGGTACCCAGCAACAGCATTTTCATCCTCATGTGTACTCTCCGTCCAACCAATCTATGGAGTTTCTGCTTTTAGTTTTTATTGCTAGATGTTTTCTGTTTTCATTTTATTCATGCCCCTTCTGGTTGCTTTCCTTTCCTCCCTTCGTAGCTTCAGTTGCCCCTTAGCTGCCTACCTACTTTAAAGAAGCAAGGCATATTTTCACCCATCATGAACATTTTCATGGTGCTTTGCCTGGAGGGAAATGTGGAAACCTTCAGAGTAACCAGAAGAAAGGGACAATTCTAATTACTGATGTTGGTGAACCCTCACAAAATTAAGATGTAGATAGAGCTTTGTGTAGTCGCTTGTCTTAGAAGAAAACCAAAGCAAGTAATAAGCCTTTGCTTGAAAATCCCAGGCTTGGGGAAATTCTCGAGGAACATAGCTTGGAGAAGGAGGGTGTGACTTTAAGAGAGAATATGTGGAGTTTGTCTTATTTTCAGAGGTATTTGATCAAAAAGTAGAGTTCCGGGAAGATGTAACTGTTCTTGATGATTAGCAGCCTTTGTGTGCTCAGTTTGGATTTCATCCAGAGGAATACAGAGAAACAGTGTAAAATGAAGTCATGTGCTTATAGGAGAAATGAAAGAGTGGCCTGGAAAATTCTGTCTTTCAGACTTTTTTTAGCATTTTTATTACATATGCTTGTTAAAGGTAATACCAAGTGGTAAAACTGAGCAATGTTCTGAATTCCCAAAATAATGAGAGTTTTCATTAAGTGATTTTGACTTCTTCATTCTTTGATCATTATTTAAAAATGTCCTTTCTGGATTGAGATAAAAAGGAACAGAAGAAGAATGGTAAAAGTGTGTTATGTTTATTTCATCAAAGCATTAAATTCATATGTAAGTCTGGCTTATTTCTGTTTTAGAATTGTTGTTGAGTACTTTCAAGTTGGAACCAACTCATGCTGACCCTCCAGTGGCTTTTCAGAGGCAGTAAATTGCATGGGAGGAGATTGCCAGTCTTTCAGTCTTTCTTCCATTGAGCAGCTGGTGGATTCAAATAGTGTACCTTTGCCTTAGCAGTGCAGTTTCTTACCTCTAAGCCACAGGCACTTCCTATGTTAGAATATAGAATTTAAATAGGTTGTATGACAAAATAGGTTCGCAAGTCCATTTTACCTGGAAAACTTAAGTCATATTTCTCTGAAAAAAATAAGTAGGATTTGGATATTTGGTTTGGAATAAATAACTCCTTTTCTAGTTTGTAATATGGCACACATTTTCCTAAAAGGATATGAGCCAGATCTTCAGCTCTGAGATGTTTTCTTTTGTTTTTAGAGGTATATTTAAACCTTGATAACATTTAAGCTTTTGTCTTTTGCAAAGGAGTGTTACAGTTAGTACATTAGTATTTCAGTTCCCCAGTCTTTAGTTTCTTACGATAAGCAAACCTTTCCCCACCTTCTCCAAAAATCCCTTTGAATCAGTTCTGATGCACAGTGACCCTACAAGATAGAATTACCTTATACAGTTTCCAAGATTGGAAATCTTTACAGAAGCCATCTGCCTTACTCTTTCTCTTGAGGAGATCTTCTGAGTCCAAACCCTTCTAATTAGCAGCTGAATGTGTATGCTCTGTGCCTTCTGGGCTCCTTAGTCATAAATGTAAAAACCAGACCCTACCCACTGCCTGTATTAAATCGATTCCAATGCCTGGCCACCTTCCATTGAAAACCCAAGATTGGGAATCCTAGCCAGACTGCTTTACCTGTCTCGCTCAGAATGGCTGGTGGATTTTTACTGGCATCCTTTTGGTTATCAACCCTGTACTTAATCTATTACTCCAATGAAAAACGAAACCAAACCCACAGCCTGGGAGGCTTCACATTGCCACAGTTGCTGCCTTTTCTGTTCAGTACAGCCAACGTGCTACAAACTGCACTACC